TTTTTTTTTTTCTACATTCCGTGCGATGTTTGCAGCTGAAGTCAAGCCCTTTTTGATGCCGCATTTGGGCCCATTTTGACGGGAAATGAAAGGAAAATGCACCAAATTTTCTGCCTCCGGCGGCGCCTCCGGCGAGGCCCCCTCACCAGCCGGGGGGGGCCGATGGGGGGGCTCGCTTCGCTCGCCCCCATCACGGCTCGCTGCGCTCGGCCGTAGGCGATATATCGGAGAAAATATCGTTATATCGGCTGCTGCGCAGCCGATGTAAAATATATCGTTTTTTCGTACCGATTCACAACTCTAACACACACACTCACTCACCTAGGAGCTCGTTCCAAATGCCGCCTGTGGTGTTGCACTCGAACTCCGCAAGGGTCAAGTCCGAGAGGGGTGGGGTACCGACAGCATCTGAGGCTCCGCTCATAGTTGCCCTCTCGATCAGTGGACAACTGAGCTAACTGGAGCTGTGAACGGAAGTGCCTGCTGATTTGTACCACCGCATTAAAAGGGGCTCCGTCAAATCGTAAATTTAGTGAGCTCGCTGGGACGGGTGGGACCACTCCCTCCGTTCCCTGTGGTGCTTCTGTGCGCTGCTCCGTCTCTCCATCTCCTCTGCTCCACCTCGCTGCCCTGTGCGTCATGAAGCTTGGATTGATTGCCTGCATCGCTCTGTCTGCCACCGGTTGCAGCGCCTTCGTTGCCCCCAGGTCGTCTGCTTCCACCGCTCTCGCCAGACGCTCTTCTTCCCCGCCCGACGCAAGGTGTGTTTTATGTTGTGTTTTCCATATTTACGCGTGTTGCAGTGTGTGGCGCATGCCGTTGCTGAGAGCACCTGCCTCCTCGGAGGGCATGAAACATCGACGGCTCTGCTGATGCTATGTCTGGTATGCTGGGGCAAATAGGCGAAGGATCCAGTAGTTTGGAAAGGTTTCATTAAGGTTGTGTACCTTCCATGTGCTCTCGGTTGCACCAAGGCCAACAGCCCGCATGTGCATGTTTGGGCTTGGTTGGCACACCATGCAGCAAACCGGGATTTTGACCAGCGAGCGCCGCGCATGGGGACTGCTGTTTTCCACCCAGTAAAAAAAAACAGAATGCAATTCCTGCGCCCCTTCCGAACATGAAATGCATGGTTGTCCAAACCACCAACGTGTACTGCTGTAGGCTCCAAGCGGCGCTTCGGTACATCTTCCCAACGGGCTTGAACAACGAGCCGAAATTTTTATTACGCTCCGCGGGTCCCCGAATTCCGTTCCACTCCCCACTTGACCACCCCCCCGCCTCCCCCATTCTTGTGCCGTGTTTTGCTGCGCTGCTGGGAGCAGCTGCCGGTTTCCCGCTGCTTCCTCTTCGACCCGGACACGAGCCGCTCGGCTGGACATGTTCTCTCCCACGGGGAAAAAGGTGAAGCCTCGCAGCGCGAACAGTTTAGCAGTCCTTCCTCCTCGTACCTGCTACACTGCTGTAGGCAGTCAGGACATTGGATGCCCACGGTCGGGACAAAGGTAAACGCATGCCGTGGTAAGAGGCGGAGAGATGGCGCCCCCCCCCCCTAGGCCGATTTTCAAAGGTTCGGTTGCTCCACAACCAAAAGCATCTGTTGGCATACCCCGGCAATCGTGGTTTCGGAAACATGTCGTAGGGGGGGCTTTTCGCAGACGTGCCGGGCTCTTTTCCGCACCCACTTGGTGGGGGAGAGATGGACCTTTGATAGTCGATCTTGAGATCTCTCACGACTCTTGTAGTAGTTGTTTGAATATCGCCAAGTCTTTCCGCTGCTGCTGCCCACTCGCTTCATCAGGTTGGTTGCAACCTGTCGTTGTTGTCGTTATTCCGGCTGTTTTGGCAACTGCTGTTGGCGTGCTCATGAGGCCGGGCGCGTGGTGCGGGCGAACAAAGCGTTCGGAGAGCACGGCCTGGACTCCTTCGTGCCAGAACAGGCGACAACTCTATTACTCCGCTCTATGATTCATCTAACTCAACAGTAGGTACGGCAGTTGGTAACTTACGGCTGAATCATCTACTGAGTATGGAAGTAGATGCGGCAGTCATCAAGGTCTGGGCGGCAACATTGGATGATTGCCATCAGGTGGGCATCGTGGGCGCTACCGGCGCGGTGGGGGAGGAGATCGTGGGCTGCTTGGAGAAGCGAGGGTTCGCGGTGAGCGAGCTGAAGCTGTTCGCCTCCGCCAGGTCGGCGGGCAAGGTTAAGCAGACTCCCATGGGAGAAGTGACCATCCAGGAGTTCTCCCTGGAGTCGGTGAGTGACGAAAGCGGGTTGGTAGTGCTTGACATGCACGTATAAATGTATCCATCTACGAGTTTCGAGAGTTGGTTTTATTGCGGAGGAGCCTGGTCGCATGAGTGATGGGGGCATAGTTGTCCCAATGAGCGAGGAAGCGGAGACGACACGCGCAATTGCTGTTCATGGTAGGTGTGTGCACAACAACTGGCGTGGTTGCGTCAGAGGTTAAGACATGGATGAGGTGTTGTTTGGTCGATCTACCTACCGTAGATGCCCCAAGTCCCTTTGGCAACCTGAAAGCCAAGAGAACCCTGCGGCATCTGCGGCTTTTTCTTTTCTTGATCTCTCAACCATGAGGCGGTATCGAGTATCTCGGTTCTCTGCCGCTGTTGAGATACAGTACGGTGCCGTGAACTTGTCGACTCAACCTTCATCAGCAGGTCTCCCTTTTTTTTTTTTTGTAATGTTGCGAGGCACCGGGACGATAGGGACAGGCGCCCGCGAGCGAAAGTCAATCTCGACCTCGGCAAACTGCCGATGTACTATTTTTGGATCGCTCGCTCATCCACCAAGAATATGACGTGGGTGGGCAACGCCTTCTGCTGTGCCTGCGTATGACGGACGGCCTCCTCCCATTTGACGATGAATCCTTGTTGTATGTGCTTACCGGCGCCCAAACTACGAGCAAATCACACCTCGTCTACCCGCGCCCTCTCGCTGCTGCTATTGTCGTTGCTGCTGCTGTCAGGCAAGAGATTGCGACTTCGTCTTCTTGGCGGTGGGGGGAGACTTCGCCAAGGAGTACGCCGAGAAGCTCACGGAGGGGGTGAGGAGAAAATCGACACTTTTCACCGCCGTACATGATATCACACCTAGACGGCGATCGAAACGAAAGAAAACTTGAAAACGTACGTGCACATTCGTTGATGACACGAAATGCGCGCGCCATGCGCACGCTTTGCACGTGTACGTATACTGTTATACATCGATTGTTCCTGCCTGTTAGCCTTGAATCATCCCGCTCTCATGTGTTCCGCATCTCTTCCGCGTGCCGGATGCCCCCCGTACCGCAGCCCAGCAGCGAGCGTCACGTCTGCTGACGCGGTTGGTATTTTGTCGGCTACCTGTTTCTCTCTGAATCTCTGTCTACCTTTCTCTCTCTCTCCCTCTCTCTCTCTCTCTCTCTCTCTCTCTCTCCCTCTCTCTCCCCCCCCCGCTCGCTCGTGACAGTCCGGTCCGATCGTGATCGACAACTCCTCGGCGTGGCGGATGGACCCTGACGTGCCGCTCGTGGTCCCCGAGATCAACCTGGAGGCGTGCAAGGGCAAGAAGCTCATCGCCAACCCCAACTGCACCACGGCGATCGCTATCATGGCGCTCTACCCTCTCCACAAGGAGTTCGGCGTGAAGAAGTGCATCGTGTCCACCTACCAGGTACGCAAGACTGCCGTGTGTAGATTTCATTTTTTTTTTTTGTGGAGGTTCGATGGGCTCTTGGAGTGAAAAACACGTCAGCTGTATGAACTCGGGAAACTTCACAGCTGGCAGCTGGCAGCTGGCAGCTAGTCTTGCATCACCCCGTGTGTGGTGGCACTGCTGTGCTCTCATATGAGCCCACTTCACAGGGATCCCTTGGACATGACTACCATTGAAGTTGATGCTGTCTACGGGAGAGAGATTGCTACGGGGATACGCTAGGGTCGGCGTTGGTGTGCTGACACCGGTGTTGGTTCTCGTGTGCTGATGATGTTGCTTGTTGTCGTCTCTGACGTTGACTTAAAACTTAAAACCCCGTGGGACAAATTATCGCCTCTGCTTGTAATAACAGGCGGCTTCCGGTGCGGGTGCCCCCGGCATGAACGAGCTCCTGGAAGAGACGAAGAAATACGTGACCACGGGAGAGATGCCCTCCAACAAGATCTTCGCGCACCCGCTGCCCCTCAACGTCATCCCCCACATCGACGTCTTCCAGGTACACGTGATTTTCGTTTCGCGGCGCCGCTCGTTGTTTGTTTGTTGTTTTGTTTTTCTCCCATTATTGGACTCTGTCGTCTGCCCCTCTGGCCCCTATCCTCCACTTCTACTAGCTAGACGACCCAACTGGGGTCACATAGGAGCGGGGGGTTGGACCCCCTCCTGCGGTTCATGCCTGAGGTATTTTTATCGCGAGAAGGGTACAGCAATCCCTTCCCTCGCGACTTACGAAGTCGATTATGGTTTACTAACAAACGAGCTTTGCAACGCGTCGCTTTCATCCTAGACCAGTATTTATTCAGTGAGAAAAAATCTCACTCTGCCGGGACTCGAACCCATGACCTGGCCCTTAGCAGTCTGCGAGGCTACCCACTAGATCACCGGGGCGCTGTGTTTGCTTGGCCTACTAGTATCATTAGTAGCTTTCAATTGAAGTAACACACGATTCATTTCAGCTCTTTACGGACGTTCGTTCATGTAGGCTAAGCCTGTAAGGGTAGGGGTCAAGTGTTGGAGGACATGCGATTAATGCATTGGTTGAGACGACTTGAGCCAACCACGCTCCGGAGCCTCTTATTGCCGGTTATGGCCGAAGACCTTTCTTATTGCTGTTCCGATGGACCGGCCAATCTGGACGCTTCTCTTCTCTGCATCGTTAATGCTGATCACGATCTATTTTGTTCTCCCTCAGCATTGTAGCTGTCTCGGCATATTGTGTGTTCATGTTGTGTATCCTGATCTTTCGTTCGTGTGTTTCTGTGCGTCCAATGCATTGCTTTTTTCGTTTGTTTTCGTTTTTTTTGTGTGAAAAATCCCAATATCCTCAGGAGAACCTGTACACGAAGGAGGAGATGAAGGTCACCTGGGAGACGAGGAAGATTCTCGACGTGCCCGACATGGCCGTCAGGTCCGTCGGTGTAGTAACGCTTACATCCTGGCAGGGATCAAATCCTTGGACAATGTCGTGACCCCTTGTCGCAACCGACAGGACTAAACATTGGACGTTTCTTGCGTGAATGTACACGGTGAATCAATCATTGATGGAACGACCAACCCTTTTTGTGGTTGAAGCATCGCACATGACACTCGTAGCTGGCGGATCCCGTCCGGAGGCGCTGCAATACACGTCACCCATGACTGGTACCCATCGGACCATTCGTTCTCTACTGCAGTGCCAGCCGTACACGGTTAACTTTCGCGCCAAATGAGCACTACATCGTCTACGTCGTTGGCTTTTGAAGAGTGCTCTTCAAGGGCGGCCTTGTAGTCGTGTGCGGATGCACTCGTCGATGACGACGACTGGAGTGACGAGATGGCGAAGCGGACTTTTCGTCTATCGGAGATGTGGGAGGTAGCTATCGTGCGGGCATGAACGCCTTCGTATCTCGTGAAGCCCTCGTCTGTCTCCGCCTTTGACGCTCCCTCACCGTGCAAAAGTGCCGAATGATCTTGGGGGTGGGAGAGCTAGACATGAAAGGAAGGAATGAAAAGGGTGCGAGGGTGCGCCCACCTGTCACGGCAAAAGAAAGAGAGTACCAAGTACTGTGAAGCAGACGCAACGGGGGAATGTTTAACCGTGAAGGGAAGGCATGCGCGTGTATTGCATGTACACCCTTTAGAAGACGAGGAACATGGATTTCAATATGAGCTGCTGACGTTTGGCATCTCTGACAGCAGTATGAGGTGAGAAAACGATCGTCATACAAGATATCACGCGGGCACCCGGTAATATCGAAGCTGTGCTAAAAAGGGGCGCTGTTCAATACCTGTATCAGCAATGTCCGCCCCCCCCCCCTCCCGCCTTACCCAGCTGCACGTCCGTGCGCATCCCCACCATGCGGGCGCACTCGGAAGCCGTGACGATCGAGACGGAGAAGCCCATCACGACGGAATCCGCTCGCAAGGTGAGATAGACCAGACCATAGAAAAGGCTAGACTTCAAAAATCCACCTTATTGTGCCGCTCTTCTGTTCATTAGACTGCTGCTTCTAGACGGTATTTTCTTGCGCTGTTGCTCTCTTCATTACTGCTGCTAGACAGTAATTGATTGCGCCGCTCTTTATCACTGCTGCTAGAGAGTGTGTTCAGATATTTGTGTTTGCCGCAACAAGTATCAACGTGGACTCACAAGCGCATGCTACCTCGGGTGTAATCGATAAGAATGACACTTAGCAATGGATGTGCTTTTGATGGCGTGGCACAGAGAAGATTCTGCAGTTCAAGGCTGCATAGCATGTGGCACACTTTGCGTGTAGCGTTGTCGGCCAATCGGATCCTGTTCACGTTCACAATTTACGTGATGCGGCACAAGTTCTTAAGCCGGCCGTCTGCCTGGCCAATGAGATCGATCGCCGCTCACACCGAACCAACCAAAACCGTTCAGGCGTTGACCAATCAGCTTAAATCGAGTTGTGTTTTATCCGAAACCGATCGAAACGGCTGACCCGGGGCAACCAACCGGAGCAGGTGTTGGCAGCGGCCGCCGGCGTCACGCTCGTGGACGACCCCGAGGCTAGCAAGTACCCCATGCCGCTCACTGCAACGGGGAAGTACGACGTCGAGGTGAGAGACTGACGGCATGGTGATTTACGAATAATGCGCTGTTGCTCGGGCATCATTGAGCGAATGTATTCCACGTTGTGGTGTATCGAGCACGTGGGTGTGTGACTGCTGTCAGACGGGCGTTCTTGTGTTTCGCTGGCAAAGGTTAGAATGGCCCAGGCGTTCTCGACCCACGACTGGCCTATGGTGGGTGGTATATTTTATTTTTTTCTTTATTTTTTTCTCCCATCATTGGACTCTGTCGTCTGCCCCTCTGGCCCCTATCCTCCACTTCTACTAGCTAGACGACCCAACCGGGGTCACATAGGAGGGGGGGGTTGGACCCCCTCCTGCGGTTCCTGCCTGAGGTATTTTTATCGCGAGAAGGGTACAGCAATCCCTTCCCTCGCGACTTACGAAGTAGATTATGGTTTACTAACAAACGAGCTTTGCAGCGCGTCGCTTTCATCCTAGACCAGTATTTATTTAGTGAGAAAAAATCTCACTCTGCCGGGACTCGAACCCATGACCTGGCCCTTAGCAGGCTGCGAGGCTACCCACTAGACCACCGGGGTGGGTGGTATATGTGAGTGTGCACATCCACGACGCCCAACAGGTACCCTCCTGTAAAAGAAGTCGTTCTCAGCGGAACAAGTAACAGCGTGCGTCACGTGCGTCTCCGCTGGCGATAATGACGATAGCGCTAGTTCCCTCGCTCCCTCCCTCCCTCCTTTCCTTCCTTCCTTCCTCGTTTTTCGTCGGCACTTCAATATATGACCACGTGTCCGCCCCGGACTTGGTCGTGTTTCTCGGCGTGTCTGGCAGTGTACAGAAGTACCTATACATCCCGACAATCGTACGTCCCTCTGTTTTCCTGAAGGACTCTCACTGAGCTGCACCACCTAGCGGGTAGCTATTGTGAGTCACCGTGTTCTTTCTCTCCCGCCACGTTCGCTTCCCCCAGGTTTCCCGGAAAAGTTGCTTGAAGTCGCAAGTCTTTTCGCTGTTGCAGCCCACTCGCTTGAGTTATATGTAACCTGTCGTTGTTGTTGCTGGTTGGCAACTAACTGCTGTTGGCGTGCCTACGCATAAGGTCGGGCGCGTGCGGGCGAACGACGTGTTCGGAGAGCACGGCCTGGACTTCTTCGTGTGCGGGGACCAGCTGCTGCGAGGAGCGGCGCTCAACGCGGTCCTTATCGCCGAGGCCCTAGTGGCTAGCGGCGTCGAAGCCGACGCGGTCGCTGCTTGATCAAATCGACGTGTTCAAGAGTCATGAAAAAATGGATATTTTTTTAGAGGGGTTGGGCCGGCTGCGCGTGCGCCGCTTGATTACCGCGTTGCTCCTCCCTAGACGAATTATATCCTATTAGTAATAGTGTACGCCTTCGTAGTAAGCGGTTGGGTCATCCGTCCGGAAACTTTGGGGAATATTCTCGGGTCATTTTTTGTTTGTCGTGACGCTCGCTGCAATCTTCCTTGTGGGGTAGGGGAGAAGCGGGGTAAGTTTCTGTTGATTTTTATATGGGGCATAATGAACAGATTTGATTTGCCCGGTCGCACGTCGGGAAGTGACGAGACATCAACAAGCGGCGCGATTTCGTTATGGCATGCGTAGTTGAAGCGCGGCCCATGTTGTCTATGGTCGATAGCCCCCCGCACCAGGTCCTATGTGTTGTTCGTTTTGGTGTACCCTTCGGGTGTTGCGTTTGTGTGTTTTTATAGCACTTTCATGCTTGTGGCATTCTATCATGGACGGGCGAGAAAGGTACGAGGGGCGATCGATGATGACGTACGTCTAAATGGCTTGCTTGTACTTTGTTCGGCCAATCACATTCGGAGAGGAACCTTTTTGATCTATTTTTGGCTCTCTCTGTCTCTGTCTCTCTCGTCGAGACAGAGAGAAAAAACAAGCCAGGGGGGAGGTACGCTCTTCCACTATCCTCGGGTGCTTGAAGGCCTGTCTGTGGCCCACTCACTGCTGGGCTGACGAACCCATTGTTTGGGATCTAGACATATATGATTGTCGTGCCATTGCCGACAACTCCTACAGTACCCTTCCAAGAACGCTTCGTCCTGATGGTACGGTATGCGCGAGCGTGCGTGCCCGGGCAAACTGTGCGCCTTCTTTTCGCTTCTTGATTTGCGCGCCAGCAGGCAGGGTGCTGTACCATACCTATCCCCATGTGGCGTTGTTCTCTCAGCTGGTGGGGGGGGTTTTGAGTTTTTCCTGCCGGTTGTTGAACCTTTGGTGCTGCACAGCTGGCGAGGAAAGAGGACTGACGATGTGTACGTGACATGGAAGCTACCGGGCTTGTTTCCATCGGGTACTGACCAGAGTGTGCGCCCCGCGACGCCTCGTGTTCGTCCACCTCCCATGAAGTACTTCAGAAACAACCAGTTGGCGTCCTACGGTCTTACGACTGTGTCCGGACCGGGTGTGTACCCGATTTTGGCCACTTGTCAAAAACCAACACCCGGTGTTCCCCCATTTGCAAATTGGGGCCTCACTGGCGAGTATATTTAACATTTTGTTCGTCTCGCAGCGGCACCACCGCCATGGCAGTAGAACAAGGAACTACACAACAATCCAAGTCGTTGTTCCAAGAAGAAATCAGGCGAATGTTAAATGTTTTGTTAAATGTTTTGTTATTTGCTGTAGCCACCCACCAACCACGCGATACTAACCGTCTCAACCAACAACGGCACACGGCACAGGTTCAAAAAAAAAAAGTTTCTGTTCGACCCCGCACTCCCTCCCCAACCAGGACACCTTTGCCTTTGCCATCAAGTCGACTCTCGGGTCACGCCCATCAACCCCGTTGCTTCCTCAAAACATTCCGTACTGAGCCGGGGCGCAACCCAGGGCTGGACATTTCGCGTCCTCGCTCCCCGACCCAATCCCCTCGACATAGCATGCGCCTCCAGCTACGGCTGGCTATACCGGGCATCGTCGTCCTGTTCTCTTGAGAAGGGGAGAGCCAAAACCGGACTTGTACATCGTCAGAGTCTTTTTCTCTGTCACGCCGGTACCATACCAACTCAACTATTATAGAACAATTCGGTGTTTTACACCACTAACCAGCTTTCTCGGGGCCATCCTTCGACTGCCCTCTCCCTCCCTACACCCCCGGTTTGCAGCTGCATCAGCACACGTGCCTCCTAGAAAACGTGACCATAAATGCTAACAACCCAACAGACCAACTATTGACGTCATGTTTCAAGCGGTAAAACACATGGCTCGCGTGCATGTAACATTGCAGCTACGATGCCGTGGACGGATGTGGATCCCTTTTCCACAGTGTACTGCTTCCAGCAGGCACCTAGCACGCAGATTCGGACGGCCGCGGGTCCCCCTCCCCCCCTTCCCCAGCGGAGCGAGACTAGATAGACCAGACTACACCGCAACAACTATTTTTTCATTGAGGCTTGGTGCGGTTAAGCTGCTGCGGAAGAATCCCAAACCAAGTGCAGGCAGGACCTACCATAATACACAAGGCCCGCCGGGACCGGATACAGCCCCAAACGCGTGTTCAACACTATTAGTCGTCCAGGGAGCTGCACGGACAACCGCTCTTGAACCGCCCCAACCCTCACGCCGCCGGAAAGCAGGGTCAGCTCCGCTAATGGCACCAATCGCTCCTCAAGGTCTCAAGATAGCTCGAGCTGCTCGACGGCCTCTCGTTTCTCTACCGCACGGGTACCCCGGCCAATGCCATCAATCGCTCCTCGAGGTCTCGAGATAACTCGAGTTGATCGACGGTCTCTCGTTTCTCTACGGCTAAGGTCTGCTCTCCGACGACAGGAGAGGGGCGTGACGGGTCACGGTCATATCGCCGTCTTTAATTTCTTGCGCCGCGAGCTCGTCTGAAGAAACGAGGAGGATTTGCCGTGTTTTTTGCAAAACAATACACACATGATTCGGCGGCCGAGAGGGTAGCGGGGGAGGGGGGGGGGG